TCCAGCTTGGGGCTCGATTCAGGAGCGACCTCAGGCTCCGGACCAGGAGAGCTCCTCTCCGTCATGTGATACAGTGCCAGGTGGTGCAGAGCAGTGGGAGTGGTGCGTGTGGGTCCGTCCTGAATGGAATGCTTCTTGGACATCAACATGTGCCTCCAGTGCCGGGCCCGGCTGTGGTCACTGTGGTCTCCGGAGCTGTGATTCCTCACCGCCACCTCCTCGCTCTCCTCCGCCTGGATGGTCTCCAGCACTTTGAGACACTGCTCCTCCAGGTACTCGATCTCCAGGATCTCGGCAGCGTAGAGCAAATCATCCAGGTCCTCGGCTGTGGCCTGGAGGGACGCAGTGTAGGCGTACTCCAGGATCTGCTGGAAAGTCTTGGGGGACAGGAAGTCCAGGGCGTACCGCAGGCTGCTGCGGTGGAAGAGAATCTCGAACATTTTGCTGGTGCAGGCCAGAACGGTGCGGTGCGCTGGGAACTCCTGGCCGTCCACCGTGATGATGACATCACATAAGGTGCCGGTCAGTCGCATCTGATTGGCCCGCTGCAGAAGCGTGCTGGGGTGAGTGGGATTGTGGAGCTGGAGCACACCCATGATTTTCCGTTTCCACTCGGACCTCGGCCGAGCCCACGCATGAGGTGTGGCTGTCCCGCCTGGTTCACTGGTCTTTCAGCTGGTTGTAGGTCTGTGGTGTGGGGGGAGGGGGGAGGGGGGAGGATCATTAGCACCTGTCTCATTGACAATTTCATGCAACACACAGTTAATTATACTCACTTTCCTCCATGCACTGACTGAAATATTTATTTTTAATAATATGAGTTCAAATAACAAGCTATATAAATATATTCTATGAAACACCACATCTGATCATTTCAGGGGTTTCAATTCATGTGTCCAACATGTTTATTTATTTTAATTAGGAACCAAAGGCAGACAACAGGTCGATGAGCGCAAAACAACCGTTTCCCTGTGCAGGTGATTAGTCTGGGGTCTCGTTGAGAGGCGGTCACGTCGCTGTAATAACGTCTGCATACTGAGAGGTGACGGTTCAATCCATCACACTCTCTCTCTCTCTCTCTCTCACACACACACACACACACACACACACACAGACTCACACACTCTCAGACACTCTCAGACATCATGCCCTCAACAGGTAGACCTGCTATTAACAAACGCCTTGAAGGGCTGATGAGTTCATTTAGGCTGCGCACGTCCGTGATTAGAAGCGTTAAAGACAATTAAGACTCTCAGTTAAAAATCCCTAAATAACTTATCAAACTATGTGATCGATGAAGCGCAGCCCCGACGCCTCTCTGCTCTTCGGTGTTTGTCAGTGTTTAAAAAGCTGAATGAGACGATCTGTGTGTGCGTGCGTGCGTGTGCGTGTGTGAGGTGTTTAATGTTGCGCTCAGCTGCTCCTCCAGTGATGCTCGCGGGCTGCATCCTTAAGTCCCGCAACAGCAGAGCGCATCAGGTGCACACACGCACCTTTTTATTATACAGACACACAGCGACGAATTAACGCGTGTGTGCGTGTGTGTGTGAGAGAGAGAGAGAGAGAGACCTGAAATATAAGACATTTATTCCAAACAGCGCAGTGACGTGATCCGATCTGAGCTCAGTCAAGTTTGTAAAATCCTAAACGAGGCTGCGGACAAACTTACTCTTCGTGCACATGTCCTCTGTCACATCCAACCTCAGAGCCCACGCGCACAAAGTGTGTGATTTAAAACGACGAGTCGGACAGAAGCAGAAGTTGGAGAGAAAACAACGAGGACACGATGGAAGTGAAGCTGCCACAGTTCTTACCTCAGTGCGTCTCTACCGTCCACCGCCGATCATCCACACATCATGATGCGGACACATTTCACAGTCCCCGCTCCAAACTCTCTGCTGCTCCGAGTAAGCGAATCATCGGCGAGCCGCCGCCGTCAGAGCTGCGCAGGACACCACGCACATCCTAGAGGCACCTTTCAAAGTAAAACACCCCCCCCCCCCCCCAAACCACGTGTTGACGCACAGGAGAGAAGGAGCGAGTGGTTCTGATTTATTCGTTGACAACTGGGAGAAGGAAAAACTGATGAAGAAGAGGTGTCCAGTTTATTTATCATGGTAGTAACAGGTCTTATAATCATAATAATAATAGAACAACTTGGCATATATATATATATATATAGTTTCTTTAAAGGTACTGAAGGCTGATTTACAGAGTCAAGAAAAGAAACAAAACATTTTCTTAAATGGTGCAACCAGACCTTTTATTATTCCTTTGGTTGTCTTGGACTATCAAATTAAAATGAAGAACAATTTTGAAAATCTTTAAAAGTTTCTAAGTCAAATTTTTTTATTCCACATAACGATATAATGTAGCATTAATGCAGCTATAGTGTTGGAAATAAATAAAAAAAAGCTTAACTATGTTGTTAGATTTGTTTATTATTATTATTATTATATGAATTCTTGCTGCTATCATTAATAACATCTTTACATCCATAATTCAAAACTTTTATTGTTTCCATTATAGCAACTGTAGTCAGGGCTGAAACCTGATGGTGTGCAGCTATCCTGGTCGCTTTCTCCCCTTCCCCCCTATCTCTCTCTCTTCACTCCCCTCTTTTCTGCCCATTTCTCCAGTCCCCCTCCCCCCATTTCCATCTCTCCTCTCTTCCCCATTTTTCTATGCTTACCCCAACCGGTCGAGGCAAATGGCCGCCCACATTGAATCTGGTTCTGCTACTTAACAAGAGAGTTTTTTTCTCTCCACAGTCGCTGAAGTGCTGCTGATTGTGGGAACTGTTGGGTTTCTCTATCATTTTTAAGGTCTTGATCTTCTATGTTAAGTGCTTTGAGATAATTGATATTATTGTTGTTGCCCCTGTTCTTTACCTTGATCAAACCAGCAACACTAGAGTGAATGTGTTCTTGCTCATATATATATAGTTGACCAAGGAAGGCTGGGGTTGTTTGCTAAATAGAGAATATACAATCTGTAAAAAGTGCATATTTCTCAATAATCACTAGATTTCCAGATATATAAGTCTTGATAAAAATGTGCTTATCTGTAGTGGCAGCTTTCACAAGCTTCTTTACTAGAGGCTGTCTGCTTCAATATTAAATATATTCAATATTATCAATGTGTATATGTGTTACATTTCTTTTATTGATTTTAATACAAAGTTGTAGGCCCTACTTGTTTGATAAAAAACATTTCCTCTAAGTATCTATCTCAAAAATACATGGAGAGAAAGTGTTTCAGAACAAACTTGTGTCTTTCAGTCACCTCAGAACTGTGTGAGTCTCTTTAGTGTGCACTTCTGAACAGGACGGGGGAGGGGAGTGTAACAATGGGCCTGTTTTCATTCATTCAGTCTGTTTTCATTTGGGACTTTTCAACAAAGTGCAAATCTGGTGACCTGGTGTTTTAAGTTGCTGACTGTGGTACTCTGTGAGCTGATCAATACATATTCTGTTGTTTTTGGTGTTTTTTTCACATGAAGGAATAAATGTTATTTCTGCCTGGAATCAGATCCTAGTAATACAGGATGAATTCACGATTTCCCTCCTTAACTGTTCATTAAAAATAAGTTAAATGTTCATTACATTTACAAAAAATAAAAATCCGGAAATCAGTCGACAAATACCCACAATCTAAATAGAGAAGGTGAAAAATTGTATGTACAATTACTCACTTCTGGGGTACTACTTCTTAATACACCCACATTTGTATTGTACTTAAGTCTTTCACCCCTCTACATCTATTAGAAGTTACATTGCAGATCCCCAAACAAACTATGATAAGCTGATGAAATACTTTTTATTGTGCACAGATACTATTAATTATGTGGTAAAATAATTGAAATGAGCTGGTGTTGCTTTATCATTTGTGACTGTCCTCTCTGTAAAGATCAGTAAAGCTTCATCTCATCTTATTTCCACCATCACCTAACTTGTGTTCCTTTCTTTTACTTTGAAGGGCCTCTCCTGTCCCTTCCTGTGTGGCCCCGGCTGCCTGCTGCTGATCTGACCGGCTGAGGAGACGTCATGGCCCCGAATGATCCTCGTCTCTCCATCCAGCTGCAGACGGAGACGCGTCACAGGTGCGAATCCCTGACAGGCTGAGGACTGAAGCAATAACACACAGCGCAGAATCCAGGTGCTGTTGAACCGGACACCAGGGCGAGAGATGGAGTGTGAGAGGGGGGGACAGGCGTTCTGTCTGCGGGCAGAAACCAGACTCTGTGCCGGGTCAACACTCCTCTTGTTGACACCGGTTCTGAGGTCCGTGTCACACTCGCGGGGACCGAGGGGGAGAAATGCCACAGCTGAAAATATCAACCCCGCTGTGCTCCACAGTATTTGTGACATCAGCCTGGAAGTATTAACTTAACTCCCGCACATTATGTAACACGTGTTTATCTGAGCCCCGTCTTTCTGAGCCCGGAGCCCGAGGATCGTGCAGCCCAGACACAACCTGTTTGCTCTGTAACCTTTCCGTCAACAGTCCTGTGTCCATGACATGGCGAAAACAATAAGAGCGAAAACACAGGTTTATACCGCCATCTCCAGGCCACCACATGTCACTGCATGCTCTCAGTCTAAGAGGAGACACTTGTTCAGAAAAGAGAAATAATACTTCTATATAAAAATGGACCAGGACAGGTTTAGATTTGGAAACTGTTATTTTTAATTTTGTAAATGGGTTATCACTCAGACTGTACACAACAGATCGTTTCTGAGGTCCACCCAATAAAACCAAAAGGAGCGTCCAGAGACGAGGGGAGCAAGGTGGTCTGGTAACAGCGGAGGAGTCCAGGGTTGATTTATTTAGTCATTTTGTTCTGATACATCTCAAATCTATTATTATCTGAAAAGCTTGATCTTCTGTTTGAGGGGGGACCACCCTGCTTCCTCTCAGTGGATCCAGAACATGTCAAGCAGTCGCTCTTGGTAAGTGAGTTTTTTTTTTTTTTTTTTTTTTTGTTTTTTTTTAAAAGACAAAAACAAAAAAAAAATAAGAGAGAAATTCAAAGACCACATTACGGAACACTTGAATAACAACTGGGGAGGGAAATAAAAAAAACTGTATTTATGCCAGAACAAGCCCCACAGGGTAACACTCATTAAATCAATATGAGAACTATTTGCCCCAAACAAACACGGGCACGTCTATCTGCCTTGTAGTTATATGTTATAAAGTACTGACTGAATTCATGCCAAGGCTCAAAAACACCTCCCTTCACTATAGCTGGCAATATATAGAAGTGCTGTGACCAGAGACGGACAGTTTCATACACTACACGTGTTATAATGACCACATTAGTCCATTTATCGTACTTTTTCTTCTAATAATACAATATATCAAATCAAAAGAAAAGGCTAAATCTCTCACGACGAAGCTATACAGGTTATCATAGAAACTGATGACAAGACGCTCTACTGACACACAGGCACAGTGCACAAGCTTGCAGGCAGGAATGGAAAAAAGATATCTGTCGTTTTTAAATAGTACAAAAGTGCTTTTGAGTCCTTATTTGATTTTTTTGCTTCTAAAGCACGAGTCGACGCACAAATCCAGTTGTGTTTTAATGTGAGGAGGAAGTGATCGCTGTCGAAGTTGTTTCCCTCCCAAAACCAATAACGTTGCTTATATTTAGCTCGAGATCATAAGACATTCGCTCGGTTCAGGGCTCCTCAACCCTCGACTGAGAACCAGCACGTTCTGTTTGTTTTTCTGTGAATGTTTGCGTTCACTCAGCTGCCTTATTTAATCAGATACGTTTTATTAATGAATATTTTGAAGCAACACTGTGGGAAGGCAGTGACAGACTGAATACATTTGATCATAAAATGGGCCAAACCGTCAACGTGTTGTGGGATTATTTTCCCCCTGCAGCCGGCTCTGGGTTAATCTTGTATTTTTATCACCGTAGCTAATATGGTTTTAATCCAAACGTTGAACTCGGGCCTATGTTTGATTGATGCCAGTGTTTCTGTGAGAGATGAAACATCCTGTATCACACAGAGTGAAACAATAAACCTTGTAAACAAAAACTTTTACAACCACTTGCAGGTCAGACATGCAGAACAAGCTATTTCATGAGACTAGCCCTCAAATTAAAAATCCAACAAAAATAAAATGCAACAGTTTTACATTTGAGCAGTAGAACATTAAAATAAGAAAAATAATTTCTATATTTTGTTTTTTTTTTTTTACATTTCTCAATTATTATCAGATGCGTGTGTGTAATGACAATTTAAACTAAGCACAATAGAAAGTAGAGTCTAATTTCATATATTTACCAGGCAATCGTTAAAATAACAGATTGTTCATCCTTCAATCCTGACTGGTTAAATAGAATAAGAATAAAAAAATAAAATAAATCTCTTATGAACTAAAGATAAACTCCTCCGGTGTCGTAAACATTTCAGAAATAAAAGCACAGTCAAAGTGCACTCTAACCGATCAACATGTGTGTTTTGAATATGTAGTTAAGGGCACTGGAAATCAAAACTCCTGCAGTGTTTCTTGCTCGTTGCTGCACAAAATGTTTTGGATTCAGGCTGGGGTTTTCCCCCGGCCCATCATGCTTTGCCCCCGGTGGTTTTTGTCTGCATGACACTGTTGTGTTCTGCAGCGATCTCCGTCAGGGCGTTTGATAATCCTGCCTCCTCCAGTTTGACTTTCTCGTCGGGAAAATGCTTCCTGCAACAGGCGGGGGGGAAGGAGAGATCAAAATTAGAAATCTGATCGTCTCTGGCAAGAAAACAAAATCCCAGCAAACAAACACAAGTTGAACCATTTATTCTCAATGACATCTTCACCCAATATGTAAGAAGACACCGCGATTAGACGTCTTCTTACATATTTCTTCACCACCTTGACAACAGTTAGATAAAATTAAACAGATAATGACAAACTCACATAATCCATTTGTAAAATAACACAAATAATCAGTCTGTACTGATGAGTTTAGTTCTCAGAGTTTGTTTATGTAGATGTTGTTTGCCGCTCAGAGCAGGAAACCACGTCAGGCATCTGTTTTCTTTACACAGCGACTGAGGATTTACTCAGAGGCATCGAGTTACTGCCTGAGACTAAACGTTTTTGTCATTAAAATAATGTCCATCAGACATGGACTGTGTGACATCACTGGTCTCCAGGTGTTTTATTTATACTTTATTTAGACATGAGAGGACTGTTTTAGAAAGAGCCGTGGGAGCCGTGTAACATTATTTATTTTTCTGTTAAAGACTTAATGACACTTTGAACACTCGTCTCACTCTTCTGCATGTTTTATTAAGTTGAATCATTTAAATTCAATTAGTTCACATAATGTCAGCTTCTCTGGATATATCTACCTATCTATCTATATATAAATATATATATATATATAAAGTCATCCATGATGATAGCAAGAATGAGAAACTACACGTCTGATTATTGTTGTTTGTTGTTAAGGAGCTGATGTTTTCTTTGCTGTTTCTCTATTAGCAGGATCACGCAAAAACTAAAGAACCGATGTTATTCCAATTTGTTGAGATGACGGTAAACGGGCCAAGATAGAAGCCGGTTCTGGGGTGGATCCAGGAATGTTTCTCTCTGTCATTATCACAGAAGCAAATCTGGCATATTTACAGGACTGATATCTTTGAGTGTGTACAATTTGATGAAGCTTAATTGTCTTTAAGGGCCGTGTTTGGCTTTGGCAGATGAATGTGCCTTTCTAATTCTAGGAGGGAGCTCGATGGAACATATGTCAGGTTTTGAATACACAGAAAAACTGGTTGATAATATGAAAAATACAGAATATCACATTATCAGCTTTAATATTTCAGTGATGCATTAGTTCCAACAACTGAACTGGTTTACTTTGTTCCTGCTTGTCATGAGCCTCGGCTGTTTCCTAACTGCTGATGAGGTGCAGGGTTTTCTGTTCTCCCTCAGGTTAACCACTCCTCTGTGTGGTTACGCACTTCCTGGAGCACCGCCCTGCACCGTCCACTGGCATTAGAATCCCCGGCTCATGACCTCTTGGCCGAGAGGATAAGAAAACGTGTGCAGTCGGTCAGGGGAGTAGAGACTAGGTATAGGCAGAGATTTTGCTTTTTACTTATTTTATGATTTGGCATCACCCATTGTTCCTCACTTTGTTCAATGCTGGTTTATTGCTTATGTGGATCCTTACTTGCACTAATTTAATGTAACAGTGCTGCAGCCTCTGTTAATCTGACTTTACCCATGTGTGTCGTGTTGGAAGATTTACAGAAATCAAGTGAGGAAAACTGTTGTGACTATTTTACTTTAAAGGGCTAATACTAATTACTACAAATTAAGACATAAGATCAATGTCTAAAATCGTCATCACATGTATGTAATGAGCAGCATGTCTGAAAGAGGCTCATCTGTACTTGAGATGACTGTTGCAGAAAGTAGAGACCCCACAATGAGGAACTGTCACACACAAGCATAAAGAAAGAAAACCATCATATCACTTCTCTATCCCAATGTCATTACCACAGTTTACCATTACAATATTTCATATTGTGTGGTCAATGGCAAGATGCGGTGGTGAATGAATGGGCATACAAATTACACACACACTCACACACACAGATAAACCTCTAGAGGGAGCCGTACTCATCGTTGACAGGAGCAGTCTTGGCCAGAGTCTCTGATGCGTCCAGAACTGGGCCTGAGGGGGGGAGGTCTGCGCCGTCTCCATTGGGCAGAGAGGGGGCAGAGGGCGGGCTCTCTAAGCTAATAAGGTCTGCGGGGGGCAGGGAGCGTCTCTCTGTCCCATTTGTCAGCTCTAAGTCTAAATCTGCACTTCTGGGCCCCACGTCGGGGGTTAGTAAGTCGTACATGTCTGATTGCGCTGTGTAGAGATCATTCGAGACCGGCACCTGTGGACTAGGTGGGGCAGGAGTAGGAATGGTAGTGATGGGAAGAGGAGAGGGGACTTCTGCAACTAAAGGAGCAGATTCTTCAGCATTAAGAGCAGTGTGGATCACTGAGGGAGAGCTGGTAGCAGCATCTTTGGCAGTGGGTATGTTGCTGTCAACAGTTTGGTCAGAGGGGTTGTTGGTGTCGGAGGCAGTAAGGCTACGCCTACTGAAATCTGGAGCAGTGGCGTTTGACTCGGCGTCTGGTTTTGGAGGGGCAGTGTTTGCTTGAGCAGAGGCAGTTTGTGCTGGTGTCTCAGTTTCTAAGGCTACAGGGTCTTGTTTTGTCAGAGGCTTGGTAACTGGTGGCCTCGGAGCCTGTTTCTTGGTGTCAGGAGTGGGAGAGGATGACGGGGAGGACGTAGCGAGTGGAGATACAGAGGGGGTACCTTTAGCATTCAGTGCAGCAAGTTTGGGAGAGTGTCTACGTTTCGGTGGTATTGGTGTCCCAGATTTTTGAGGTTTAGGCGCTTCAGGGGTACAAGGAGGGGTGGTTATGTTCTCCTGCTCTTCCGGGGCGTTACTTCCTCTTTGTTCTACTAACGGGGCCATTTTAGCCTCAACGGCAGCCGTGAAGAGGACAGGGGCCAGCGGGGTCGCATTCGACTCTGGAGTCGGGGCCGGGGCCCTGATGGGGGTAGGTGAGGGGTCGTTGGCCGGGGTAGACAGGCTACAAGTGAGGGTAGTGGTCTCGCTAGAGGGGCTGTCCTGAGCAGGGTCAATTGTTGCAGTGGCTGTGTCAGAGTTGGTGGCTACAGACGAGAGGGTTTCCAGTGCCAGAGCAGCAGTGAAAGCCGCCAGCCTGAGAGAGCAGGGAGAGAACAGAGACACACAGACTAGACACCAGGGTGACTGTGACAGAGGAAGGGTGGCTCGGACAAGAGCATGCAGAGGGATTAGTTGGCTTTAGAAAAAAAATCACACAAAGACAAAATAAACTGAAAAAAACAGCAAGTATTTAAGCCTAGTGAGTAAAAGAAAGAACAGAAAAAGAAGGCGTCATGCTGTGAGTGGACATTAAAGGATACATCCCATACACACACCAACACGGAGTACACCGACTGGGAAAACTAATTTAGTAAGATAGCACCAGTCCCGCACTCCTGCTGAACTACAGCACCACACAGAACCACCTATGAGGGTTAAACAGTACCAGTGACCATCTCATCCTGTGTAATCTCATTTTTTCCAGACTGCTGATATGAAAGATGGCTGTTGTCAAATGGCTTCATGAGTTGACCACACTAAAGAGGACTAAAACCTCTGTGTCTTTAACTGGTATTGCTTCAACCTTGGTAATAATGAGACAGACAATCTCCTGCGGCTGGAGAAAGGAACACGAAGTGCAGTAATTCCCTCTCAGTGGGAATAAAAACAGAAAAGCAACAGCAGTAGTTCAGTGGACTCCACTCAAGAATGACCTCAAGGTTTCAGAGATTTTCAAGGGTCAAATGTCGTCCTGTTGAACAATGTGATTATTCTTTGAAGTGGAGTGCAATGTACGACAGCTAAAAACGACTTGAGCAGTAAAAAGGCGATGTGCTGTGAGTCAGCTCCTACTTACTCTGGCTCTGTGAGAGGTGTGGTTTCATTGGGTTCTGTGGGTCCTGCTGCGTTATGATTGGCTGTGCACTCGTCCTCCGTTCTGACTTCCACTATCGGCTCTTTGGACTCATCTTTCCTGTAAAACAGCGAGATGTACAAGATGATGTGAAAGTCATGGTCTCTTAGCACAACCTGAAAACCAGATTATTGCAGTGACTGCTGTCCATGAAAGAAATGCGGCTAAGAGGCTAAGCGGACTGTTGTGACTCCGAGTCATGTTGTGTATGTGTGATTTATGGTGTGGTTCTCCCTCCCTGCCTAAGGGTGGTGCTGTTCACTCTGTGCTGTGTTTTGCCTGTGTATCTTGTTTGAAGATAAAAAAATGGACTTTTCTCTAAATGGAGTCACACTGTATATTTTGCATTTATCCCTGGCAGAGATCGAACAATGCTGCTGATAACAGCACTGAGCATTTACACTTTATATGAAGACACATTTCTCTTTCGTGCCTCTGACTGTGGGTCAGTGTTGAGAGGACTGAACCCCTTGTCCTTTAATTGTCTCTAATACTCACACGAACGCTGCCTTGCCCTCCTCCAGGTTGTGTCCTTTGGTTCCGGTGCCAGATTTGCCGCAGAGGCACATGATGAGGCCACATTTGTTGACAAAGTAACAGGTGACATCCACCGCCAGCAGCAGCAGCACAAACACCACAACAAGGATCCCTGCCCAGATCATGATGCCCATGGAGAGCGCTGCCTCCTCACCCAAATCTGCCAGACGGAGGAGACATGAGGGAGGGAGAGCACAGAACTGCAGCATGACACTTTTACACAAACAGCCAAGAACAAATAAATGATGTGCCGCTATGCTACTGTAGCCACAAATGCTCCCAGAAAACAGAAACCACTCACCTGCTGTGAGCACTGATACAATCTAGTTGTCTCTGTGTGTATTTAGATGCAGTGTGTTTGTCTTCACTCTGCTGTCTCACTCGTGTTTAATCATTTATTTGACTTTGTTGTAAATATGAGGCATGTTGAAGAATTTATATGCAAATTGGTTTGTGAGGCTGTCCTTAAAGAAAACATTTCAAAATAAATATTCAACACATTTATTTGGTATTAGAAAGAAGAGCAAACCAACGCTTACACTGAGTTGCTAGTTACAGACACATGCAGGACAAAATAAACGTACAAAAAGCTGTAATGCATAATCACGGTTTGTGTGAAGTCGTTTTTTAATTCTAGCAGAAGACTACCTTCTGTTTACAGATAAATTCAACTCTGATACCAACAATTAACAGGTAAACAAGATCTGCTAATGAATCAACAGCTGAGTAAAGCACCCTCCAGTTATAAATGTGTAAAAACTGGTATTTTTAAAATATTTGATACATGCATGAGAAACATCTGGATGTTTGTCTTAGTAATCAGCACAAAAATAAGTTTCCTTGTGATAATTCTGTGCCCAGCTTATCTGTGCAGTCATTACAAATATCTCAGGTTAGCTGTCTCTGTTCAAAAAATGGAAACGTTAATCATTAAACATTTACAGAACATATGCAAAGTTTTGTGATTAATTTAGGAATATAATACAGTATTTATGTAAACGTACAGGTCCTGCACTCAGCCTTTACTCTGTTCTAAGTGCTATTGTTACAATAACTTCATTTCAATTCCACTATTATTCATCACTGTAAACTGGCACTCGTCTCTGTTTTCTAGGACTGATGACTGGCTGAGCTAATGCTGAGCAAAATGTGAGTCTGTGGGAGCCGCAGGTTTTTCCACTGCCTTTGGTCAAGCACGTCTGTCTGGTCTGTTCTCAAGCTACACAGGACGAAGTCTGTTGTTGACAAAGTCTGTTTTAAGGAGTGAACGCATCCAGAGACACAACCAGGCCGAGCTCCCCATCACTGTGTGAATTCACCCACAAAAACTAAGAGAGCAGAAGTACAGAGATGAGGGACAAGATGAGTGATACCAAAGAGCATGTCACAGATGAGCAGCCCTGAGTGGCTGAAGGGGTTGAAGACAGCGCAAACCCCCGAAAACACCAAAATGCACACAGGTCGAGACGAAAATGTTCACGTGATCCACCACAGCAATGTCCAGGACCAGGCAAGAGAGCAGGAACATTGAGAGAGAAGGGGAAAGAATAAAGGACGAGTACAGGGGGAGGGAATGAAAGAGAACAGAGGAAAAAAAAAGAGAAGGGTGGGGAAAACAGAGGAAGAGAGAAAGTGAAAATGTGTCAGGTCTGAAAACCACCAAAAAAAAAAAAAGAAAAAAAGTTATATCGGAGGGGTGGGAACAGCAGCAGACCAAAGCGAAAGCACAGCGACGGGGGGAAACTACATGTTGACTCGATGGTGCCTCAGAGGAGTGAGTGGAAAATGCTTTGGATTGGAAAATGAATTAGAAAAGGAGTGAGAGGAAAACGTAATGGTGTGCCGTGATGTTTCAGGAAAGCACTTGGCAGCGTCTAGCACCTAAAGAGAATCTAACAGGCTGGGGTTTTCTGTGCGGTTGGTTAAAAAAGAAAATTCTACTACTACCTTGAGGAACGAGTTAATCTGAGGTTATCACGGGTCAATTTAGAGGATGCGTCTATAAAGGGACAAACTATCCAGTCTATCTGCTATTTGAACAGTTAACACAGCTAAAGAAAAAATCATTAAATAAAATCTTTTCATCCTCAGAGGAGAACGACTGTCCCAGTTCTGTGAGCGCAAACTCAAGCTCATTTAGCAAGAGCTGTTAAAACTTTAAAGTGAGAAAGGTCAGCCAGAAAATCAGTTTTGGCCAACAGCTGTTCAGGAAATCATTTTTTCCCTGTAGATTTATTCAGTTGTCATTTACCTTTCAGAGAGAGTTAAAAATAGAAATTGATGCTCAGGCTTTGAGCTATGAGTTTGGCTATTCAGTTTTCTGGATGTTTAGTTCCAGTTTAGTGTGAGTGACTTGAGGGAGGGTACCTGGGATGGCTTCTGGCTGTGGGGATGTCCTGAAGGACATGGTTGCTGGCTGAGACTTGCCCTTCTTATTCTCTGCCACCACATACACATTGTACTCTGTGTCCCACTCCAGGCTGCTGAGAACCACGTACTCGCTGCCGCTGGGTAGTCGGATTTCTGGTTTCCACTCTGACGCTTGTATCTGAGGACACAGACAGATGTTTAGTAAGTACTTTTATGTCTTTAAATAACATTTTCAGTATTTTTAATAACTGATCCTTAGGTCTCTTTGGCTTAATGACTGGTTTTGTCAGATTTCTGTTAATAAAATAATCAAACATTTTTTTCCAGCTATAAGTGCATTAACATGAAGGCTTGAACATGAAATAATTAAACAAGTTTAACAATTAAAATGTTTGTGAGATTTCAAACATTAGGGAGCGTCATTTTCATTTATGATGAGTGCTTGATCAACCGTAAATAAAAGGTAGGTAGTAAAATAATTCATCAGAAAACTCAAATATATTCAGTTTAGTAACATAAACCAGAAAAATGCCATATTTAACAGTATTAGAGATTTCTGGCATTTTAGCTTAAAATGATTTAAACGCTTGATAGAGTCAGTGTCAGCTTTCCAACCAAAAACATACTCACTGGTTTATAGCGGATGAGATAATGTAAGATGGGTGAGCCGCCGTCGTCTTGCTTGATCCAGGTGACTCTGAGCGAGTTACCTTTAGGTTGAAGAGCCCCTTCAAGCTTAGGAGGGTTGGGATTCCCTACAACACATGAGCAGCACAGAGGTTACTGAAATGCTGGTTTAGAAATCTAGATGTGTTATTTGCTTAGAAGCAGCAAAATGCAATTATGTCCGTCCACCTTTATTTATTACAGAATGGAAAAAAACTTCAAAGAAAGTTTGAAACTGGCTGCTCTCCTTGTCCTTTAGTCACTAACATCAAGATGGTTCGTCTGAACTCAGACTAACAGCCAAATGACACACAATCGCACATTTATATGATTCAGTTGCTGACTAACATTCAGCTGGCACAAAATTGACGTTCCATCATACATGAGGGGGCTGCTGAGCACAGACGCTCAGGACGAGGGCCTCTGATCTTACTCCACTCAGATTTAGAGACTCATGGTGACTGAGCTCTTACTGTACTGACTCCCAGGTTCTGGAAAAGTCTACCGATTCCTTGCCCTCAAATCCCTGATTAACTCACCAGTCCCTGTTAGTGGATTGAGCCTGGAGCGATGGTATTGAGACTACGATTAAACATGATAAACAACATGAAAGATACACAGTGTATGGTAGCTATAGCATTGAGCAGGAGACTGAGAGCTGTTGAGAACCAGAGCACACAGCAGCAAGGAGCCATATTTTGAGGGAAGATAGGAGGACACCGATTATGATTCTCGTGTGATTAAAGGAAAATGTTTATTACAAACTTGATTTATCGGAGGGGCGACCTATAAGGAGGAGAGGTAACATCCCGCAGGTAGCGTGCTATCAGTACCATCCAAGTGACGCTGATATTAAACACTCCTGACTGTTATGTATTACTGCGGCGACAGCTCTGGCTCCCGCTCATTTATCCAGCTGAGGCAAATGTCTACATGACTTGATTAATACGACTGAGGTAGACATGTATTAACATGATTGAGTAGAAGCAATGAACGTGATGTTTAATTTGCGGGATTCTCCGGTTAGAGTTAGGAATCTTCTTTCATAAAATCTGCAACATCAGGTTACCTTCTGCAGAGCGGAGGGGATCATCAGCACCATGCAAGGCAAATAACAGTCACATGGAAAAATGAAATGAACATGTGAGTGGTCGAAAGAAGAAGACAAATATAGAAGACATAACAGATGACAAAACTTAGATACAAGTAGAGGACAAATAGCACAACAACCGAGCAGAGAAACTCATCTGGTTGGGTTTTCAATGTGAAAAGTGTAATGGACTTCTTACAGCTTTATCCTCTTAGCGTTATAGACTCTGTAATTTGCAAGGCAGCAGTTTATTCAATGCTGATGACATTCCAAAACTACGGCTCCTAAACTGCATATCTGCCAATAATTCATGGTACTGACATTAAAGGAGACATATTCTGCTTTTTCAGTGTTTCTTTCCTCCAATGTCCTTTATAGATGTTTTTTTATGTACATACAAGTTCTGCAAAGTTAAAAAGCCCAAAGTCTGCAGAACAGCGAGCTCCCCTCCCCCACACAAAACACTACTCCTGAAAGTCCTGAAACGCCTCGTCATTAGTCCGGCTGATACTTCGCCATCATTGTAATGTCACATAACATCACATGACATCACAAGGCATAACGCACGCCTCAATGCTAGTCTGCCAGTCTTGATGAGAGAGTAGCTAATACCAAGAGGCTGAAAAGAGGAGCTGCAGGATTGGACAGTTTGAGGAAAGAGATGGGTTTTCTGAACATTAGAGCGTGTACCCATTTCCAGTAATAACCCCAATGAATATTAAGAACCTGAATATGAGCATCATGTGTCTCCTTCAATTGAGATTAGCTCATAGGTTGCAGATCAAAATGATATATTTATATTCATATTTGTATAACTCAGCTGTCAACTCACACAGCTACAGCAGTAAAAAACTAATCGTCTATTTTTCTCACTACAGAACAAACCTGCGTCTTCAGTGAAAAAACGAAAAGTGCCGTCTAGGGACATAAAAGAGAAGATATCAGGCAATTAGAATCAGCCGTCTACATAAACATCTACCTGGATCTTTGTAATAACACTTCACTGGAGAGTTTACCAAGAATGTCCCCTGGTAGACACAGAGGAGGAAACAAAGCATGCTTTTTAATGACTGCCACATTTATGTTGGAATGAGGCACAGTAGCCTGTTTTAAGACACCGCTTCAAAGGTGGTATGAAGAGAAATGTCTTTTTTCTTCAATAATGTTTCTGGGAAATATTCCAGCTAATTCATTTTGGGTATTCTAATAAGTCTTTAATTATTAACTTGACAGACATCAAACACTTCACTTCATAAGAAATTACTATTATAAAATGTTTTAAAAGAGCATAGAAGATTTACTTTTTGTCTTTGTCCTGGACTTTTACTCATTGAACAAGCAACTTTAATTGAATAGACACTGAGTTTGCTCTTTGTCATGGGTTTACATTTTTTGTGAGAAATGTGTGTAAAGAGATGGACAAACAACAGATACACAGAGGTAGGACATGTGGACACAAAGCAAAATTAACCTGGGTAAGATAATGTTCTGCAAACATGAATCCAGATGTTTATTTGTGTGATTTATTACTGATGAAATCTCATTAGAGATTTAAATTACAGAGAGTTGAACAAAAAGAGATGAGTCCTTTGTATTTGTAATCTGATGGATACAACTGACAGATGATGGTAAAGAATAGATGATTAAAATGTGAAAAATGGAAAGGACAGAATGATAAGATCTAAAAATACAATTGGAATTAATTATAAGTAAAGAGGCACATTCCAGATGTGTATCTCACAACCAACAGAGGGAGCTAACAGCTAAATAATGAGCTGAAGACTCACCACAGGGCCACTATTTATTTATTAATTATTTTTAGTCACGTTCATATCGTTATTCATGATTTGCAAACACATAGTGAGCCTAATAACGTGCTGGGAAACTGTGGATTCTAAATGATTGTGTGAATATATCCAAATGTTTATTTAATCAAGATGCTGTTAAACATGAGAATGTTTCATGAGTTCTGAGATTTCAAGGGCACATGAAAAACAGCCAAATAAGGAAGACAGAGTTGGTTCCTGTTTTCAGTTTCAGTCACAAAATTAACCGAGGAGGACAGAGACGTCAGACTCAGTGTCAGCGCTGACTCGTGTTCCTGAGAAACTCTCTTCTTCAATGAGTTTTTAGATCAACAATCGGACAGAAGAGCCCCCCCTCCCTCCAAGACAGAGAGGATGGACCTCAGCTATTGTGTTAGCGGAGACAGGTTAAAAAAAAGTCACTTACGGACAGGCTCTGTCTTGAAGAACTCTGCTGGGCTGCCTTCACCTTCACCCTTTCCATTGATGGCAGACAACTTCATTTCGTAGTTGGTCTCTGGTTTCAGGCCTGTGATTGTCGCCTCACTGATGGAGCCTGTTGCAACATATTAGAGGCAGAGCCATCCATGCTGAGAACACCTTGAATTTCAGACTTTACAACCTTATGGAAACCCTCTAAAATGATCAGTTGACAGTAGCTAAAACATATTACCTGTGTTCCAGAAAGAAAATAAACATTTGTTTGTATTTCCTCTCTCCCTACCTGGCAAATCCATCCTTATAACAGTAATCTACCGCAGTGCAAGTGCATCTGGCTTTTAAAGCAGATGGGAGATGGCACGCAGATGGTTTATTTCACGTTACACCCCAAACGCTCCCCAAAAATAAAACACGTTTTTGTTTTATCTCATGTTCTCACCATCTTCAACCACGATGACACTCTGAGCCCAGCTGCCCCTGCCCTGTGTCCTCCATTCCGCTTTGTATTTCAGGACAGGAACACCCCCAGTGGAATCGGGCTCCGCAAACTGGATCTGTGCTGTGGTGGAGAAGGGTCTCACCTCACTGATGAACGGAGCTGAGGGCACCTCTGGTAAAGAAGGAGGAAATGCTGTGTGATTACAACGAGACCTGTAAGATTGCAGCACACCAACACTGTCAGACTCCATTGTTCCATAACACTTAGAGAGTGAGCTCACATATCCTAATGGCTCCAAATTACATTGAAAATTGGCTCCATCTTCTTTGTAAGAAATCTGACTTTTGACAGTAAAGAGACGTTTCTCTTGCACTGACAAACTGATTCAAGTAACGGCTGATCCAAAGTCTGAAAGGATGCACAAAGAAAATCAGTGAAAATTAGCAGCTTTTTGAAAGAAATGAGAATGAAATTATAAACAGCTGGTGCTGAAGGAAAAAAGTGAATTACAAATCAAGCTGAAAATAAGAAGTGATCATCACTTAATTTTAGATTTGTGTAAAGAATATCTGATTTGTGTTGAACAGGATTATCTGACTATTTAGTTATTAGTAAAAAAACATATTTAACAAGTTTATTGAAAAGAACAACCTTAAGTTGGTTCAACCACTGTAGGAATGTAACTATATCCATATCCAAGGGCTGGTGGCTGAACTCACACACTCTGGTTAGAGCAACGTTGTGTACTGAATGAAAAGCTTCACTGTAATTACTGCAGTTAACCATATCCTACTCTAAGTGCGGCCTGTGGTGTTTTCAGTTCATTCACTTGACCCTGTGGGTTAGGACTGCATTGGCTCTCTGCTCTCTGCTCCATTTGTCTAATGTGCTGGTTAGAATACAGTCTGTGGCATCAGCTGGTGGTGATCTGGTGTTTAAGATAAATGCTGTAACTTTGATTAACTGTCTTCCATTAGTAAGTTGATGATGATGATGGCATCAACGTTGATACAAACAGGAGATTTAATTGCACAGAGCATTTTTTGAAATGATTGATTTCTTAAAAAGGCTCCTCTTCACATCTCACTTCTCGCTGGCTCATCTTTTCTGGTGATTCTGCACAGCAGCAGCACAACTGGACCTAGTTTTGCTGTAAAAGGCTATTGCTTAGAGATCTGCTCAAATTTAGTGAAGAAAACATTTTAGCAGCAAAACAGGTTGACATTTTTTTGACAGAAAAAAAGGGAGTGTGTCCTGCAGATACAAGATCACTGGGAAGAAGAACACAAACCTGAGGAGACACCGCGAGGTGCAACACACAGAAACAAGGTAACCTGTCATTAACTTGTTAGATAAACGTTTCTTTACTTTTAAACCATATTTAGCTAAAAGGTGTAATCTTATCTTTGAACTTCTCACTATAACAGTGACACTGCTACATGGCTTTTCACAGGTCTCACTTTACCTCAGTAGTCCAGTCAGCTTTGTTTATTTTGGTGTACTCAACAACCTAACTGACACATTGCAGGTCTCTGCTATTTTTAATGGGTCTCTGACTGTTTAATACAACCTCTCTATTATTAGCATCCACAGTTAAAAATGTAGAAGAATGTTTTGGAATAAAGTCTGTTAGGTGATTAGTCAACTACCTTTGTGTGCAATGAGGTTTTATTCAACTAAACATTTATTCCTTAAATTAAAAGGTGAGGTAGGCTGAATATGACTAAAACTGTCATGGGCTTTTATCTCAGGACTAAGATAAAATCTAAAAATAGCTGACAGAATTAACACTAGTGCTCAAGAAAATACTGTATAATGATTCTGAGCCCTGTATGAACTTAGAAGGCTTAGATCTGGTGTAATTTTAAGCAGCCACAGAGAAGTAACATTAAATTATGTGAAATGGTTTGAATGTTTTTTTATCTAAATGTATCAACCATGGAAACAAACTCTGAGCTGTGTAATCTCACACTGTGCTGTGATGTTTTGAATATGGGTGAAAAATCTGCTCCTGAAGCTTTGGCCAGAAAAAAAAACATGCTATTTAATTAATGTGCTACAAGAAATTGATTTATCCCAAATAACCAGGATTTTAAACATTTTCTGAAAATGCACATCCTGCAGACAAATTTCTATTAGCAATCTCTTTACGTCTCAGTAAATTCACTTCAACGTTCAACCATGACCTGAAAAACAAGACACAAACATGGAAATCACAGTAACATCACTGACCGGCCTGAATGAGCAGGAACTCCTTGGACTCTGTGCCCATCTCATTAGAGGCGGAGCAGTTATAGCTCCCAAAATCATTTTCAGACTCTGGGGTTATCTGGAGGAGGAAAATGAAAAAAAAACAACAAATAAATGAAGGGCAGTGTACCAAAAGAGATGAACCGAACCTGTGTGTCAAACGCTCTGAAGGTGACCTCTTTGTTTGTCCATTAGCGTAGCCTATTTTTTGTTGCTGTGAGCTTCCCCGCCACTGAATTATTCATCTGATTTTTTACACAATGGAGCTGAAAGAAAACCCTTCACTTCAAGCCTATGGTCATGAAATCTTGATGAAAAGAGGGTCGTGTGTGGGTGTGTGTGGGGGGTGGATGCAATGTAGGACTCTACGTGTATGTGTGTAGATTTATTTTCACAAAGAGTAAATCATGGCCTGACGTATGGATTTGATTTTGTACCTGCAGGAAGCTGACTGACGGAGTCCTGAAGATCTTAATGTTGGTGGTGTTTGAGTTGGGCAACTGCAGTCTGTCTCTCAGCCAAACAATAGATGCATCACTGGGATGAGCTTTGACCTCACAGCTGATATTCACTGCATTTCCCTCCCAGGTATACAGTGCCACTTCCCCATGTATTTTAGGGGCATCTAGGAAACAAAGAAAATACACTTGATACCATGTTTGTGCCAAAACTGTTGATTTTGTGGTTTTAACCACAACCTGAAAATAGTGCGATGTGAATAAAAGAAGGTAACCCATGATGATGCAACATCATGTTTTCTTATTTTCTTAGGAATTTCCTTTAAGAATGAAGGAATACTTACAGCGGACCTCTAGGTATGCTGACTGACTATCCTCTCCAATGGCACTGCGTGCTGTGCAGAGGTACGGGCCAGCATCTGTATACTTGACGTACTTCAGAGTGAGGGAGGACACACGAGCATCACTCCTCACCACCACATTCCCATCCAGACTCTAAATGAGAAAAGAAATGGGTTTTGTGTAGGAAAACAAACCATTCGCATCAGTTATTTTTCAACAGCCATATTGCACATTTACATCAACAGAGCACATTTGAGCAGAGAGATGTGCGACCTGAGAAATAAGCGGGACTTTAATGAGCAGAACAGACATTACATTAATGAAATGGGCACATTCTGTTCTGTAAAGACGTGGAAACATAAGGACACAGTTGACAGTACAGGGGAGCTTATCAATAATTCATGACAGGAGGCACTAGAAACCATTGAGAGCTTTTCACACGAGGGCTTACCAACTTGTGAAATATGCTGATGCATGCCACTAGACGGAGCATTAGCCTCACACACTAACACTTTTATAGTGTCAGACACCTTTATGACTTAGTGTCACTGCACACATCATTTTTTGTAAAATAACATACTAAGTTCATTCCTTGTGGTGTGCAGTTTTTGTTTTTGTATTAGCTTGCATCTCTCTGAACCCACATGTAGGCACATGTCCCACTTTCAGTGTTGAAGGACACATGCCAGGTTAGATAGCATTCGAAACCTGGTGAATAACAACAGACAGCTGGCTAATGAGATGAGTAAATGACCTTCCTGCTCTTAAGATACCTGGTTTCATTAACTTGATAGGCGCAGTTACAACATCCAACAATAAGTAGCTTCCCAGCTTTCAAGGTCAACAGCTCCATGTTGTTGTGACTGTTGTTGTCATGTGACACCAAACTGTGGAGGTATTAAGCTACAGATAGTAATATCCTAGTGGTGGAAATGTTTCTTTAAAACTTCAAACTGTTCTTTTGAAATGTTTTATTATATAGACTGTACACGTTAGTTTCCCCTCATTAAAGAGTTCTGTGAACTTCAACCCAACTGATTATTTAAGCTGCTAATGACACAGAAAATCTTAACTGTCGTTTAGATAAAAACAGTACACAACAGTCAGTCTCAGTAATTCTTCAACCGACAATTTAATTTATGGATTTGGGACATTGTGTACAGTTTTATGCAGTAAGCTCTTGTGTTTTTGTGAATTGCTCCTTTCACAAGATGCAGCAGAACTGAATATATCAGCCTCTCTTGGTTGCATTCATGGCTTTGATCCAAGCTACAGGAGAAACAATGCCACGGTTGCTTTTACACATATTGAATTAGGGCCCAGTCTGGGCGACCATGTTAGAGAAACCCTTGTTGGTTTGTATTCAAATTCAACAGACAAAGCATGTCTGGGCCATTTATTATGCATAGGGGGACCAGGGAGACACTTTCATAACACACTAACCTTTTATTCTGACCCCTGTGCAGAAAATGATGCCTCTCAACTACTGACTCCTGCATCTGTGCAACATGCCACACTGTGCGACCACTGTGTCATTGTTACTCAACTCAACATTGATCCTATTTTATTTTGTGCTCGTACGTTTTGGAGAAATCAAAGTGTCACCAGTTTTTCAGGGGCTGCAGCCACATACTCCCTATATGAGGCCAGTAATGAATATCATTATCTACCGCAGGAAAATTATGTGTTCTCTGCAATTTAATATTGGGAGTCATTAATGTTTCATAACTATAGTTTTCAGAGTTAATGCATAACGTACCACAGTGGCTTTCTTTATGAAACCTTCTCGGTCATAACTTTTGGTTTTACTACCTATTACATATAGGTGTAAAACCTCTTTCCACGTCTATGTGAAAACCTGGAATAAAACACCAGGAGGACAAGGGAAGAAAAAAAAAAAAAGACTTTCAATAAATCAAACCACACTGACGCCAGAACTTCATCAAAAAGCTTCATCAGCTTTACCAGCAGAAGAGACAGAGACACAGCTGGAACAGGAGCATGAAAAGAGGGAACATACCTTCCCTTCTGTATCTCCTCACAAGACCTCATGCTCCTGAAAATTATTACTACCCGATCCATTAATGTTGACCGAAACACTCACAACCAAAGCTACCAATGTGCTGCATGTGTGCTGTTGAGATGTTATTTGTTGAATGGCTTACTAAAATACAGTTCAGAAAATAAAAAGGACAGCAAAATGCATTTTTAAACTACCAGTGTTCCAGGATTATGGGAAATTGGTACTTGCTTTGGATTATCTTTATCCTTCTTAAAAACTGAGAAACTTAAGTAACTAGGATGCACTAGTTTGAGCTTTTTGGAGCTGCATAATTTTTGTACATTCATCTGATCTCAAATCTATGTGATGTGAAAACAATGAATGAAAGAAAAGATAGCATTCTCAATATTGTTATAGAAAGAAGCAGTAGGAAAAGACCAATTTAGATTATGTGTAATGCCTCCTGCAATTTGAAAGTAAAATAGAAAGGCTATTTGTGGAACCAAATGGTCCAAAAATACATGTTCATATCCTGTCAAGTGGTACAAATGTATAAATAACAATAAAACATAGATGCGAACTTTGTGAGAGAAAGAAATTCTGTTTATCTGAAAAGCAAAAAAGGAATCTGTAACAGCTCTGTCCTCTAGTAAGGTGCAATTGCTACAAATATTAGGCCAGAAGTGTGTTTTCTCCCCAATTCTCTCACAAAAATAAAATAAATTTTGTGTTAGTGAAGAAAATGGGAGAAAGTTTTATGTGGGCTGAGGCAATCTTTGCCAATTTCTACTTTCTTTAAGGAAAAGTGCCTGGATCTGATAATCCGGGCTGCTACACAGAGACATCTTTCATTTTCTTTTATGTACATGTTCAGTCATCTTTGGTCCAACAAACGATCAGAAATATGATCAAGAATTGGCAGTCTGGACATGTGGGTGGGAAAAATGGAGATCTGAGAAGTGTCGTGTTTTGAATCTATAGAATTTTTTTTTTAAATCAGGTTGTCCTTTAATGACTTGTCTTTTCACAGGCTTGGTGGAAAAAACAACAATGCTACAGCATGTTAAGTTTATATAGAAAACAAACAAGTAAAAGAAACAGACAGATTTGCTCTGGCCTGTTTGGCTACTGCATTGCTCCCAGGGTTTATAGTCTCCCTGACCCTTATTTGATCAAGAATTTTGATCTGCATCCATCCAGAATTGAATTAGACTCCCCTGACATGAAAGATGGATGGGTGTAGGGAAAAAGTCATGCATTTAGAATACCTTGTGCTGCTCAGGCCGAGTCCATGATGCCTGCGGAGGACAGAGACAGAACAACAAACACAAGGCAAAGCAATTCTTAGAAAGTAATCCTTATCCAGGTAAAGCTGGGATGCTGCACATTGCATGCAAGTATTAAGTGTATAAAGTTTATTTTCTGTGCTTTCACAGAACCTGAGCTGAATGTCTGATTTCGCTAAAGGTCTACAGATATAATAACAGCTATAATTTGGATTTGCCTTCTGGAGAAACCTATTATATGACAAAAGTTTTGAACATAATTTTGGGGGGGGTTTATGGTGTGTGTTTTTTATTAGTACTACAGACTCGAATAACACGGCTTCTAAAAGCCTATAAGGCATTTATGATAAAGATAAGAAGGTTATTGGTTTATCAGAGGAGGCGACTCCATTACACGGCAGCAACAGAGATATGTTGGCCTGTTTCATAAAAGTCGTGCAGCAATTATCGACTCACAATCTATTTGTGAGGCTTGAAGCAATAACGAGAAGATTAGTATCAAACTGCCAATAGTCGATAATTTACTCTCACACTCTTTATTTGTGCAAATAAAAAAAACTTTTCTTTTTCAATGAAGCAGCTCTCCTTGAAATTAATCTTTGCATCCAGGTGATATATGTTAAGCATGGACTGAATGTAAAGATAGATGACATGTCTCCACTTGCCCCCAGAAAAAAAGCCCTAATGCTGCCAATGGAGTCATTTAGAGACATAAACTTCTGTGCAGTATCGATCAGGGGATTGAGCCACGGTGTTGTGGTCCACCAATACACATGCTCTTTGGTCCATGTCCCATCCACTAACATGGAAGAGGCAAGGTTTATGACCTATACAGCAGCTAGCCACCAGGGAGCAATTGGAGAGGGGTCATGGTGTCCATCTTTATGTACAGTGTATGATATTAACAATATTTGTGCTGCAGCTTTATATTGAGTTATTGAGACTGACTCAGGACAGAAAAATTGTCTCCTGAATATAGAATTACTTATCATGACAGATAAAATCAAACTGCTGAATAACAGATATTTGCACTGTACTAGACAACATGCTATGTCAAGTTAAATCACAGTGACACTGAAAAGCCCAACTCCACAAGACAAAAAGCTATTTGGAAAGCATGCTCTATGGATTTTATGATGCTGAGGAGAAAATGTTAAGCATGACAATGAGATGTGATGGCCCACATAGCGAAAAAGTACTGAGGCGTAACAAGCGAAATGATAAACAGCTATTTCATCAGGTGCAACAGCAAGAAAATGTCAAGAAAGCAATCTGCAGGAATAATTGAAGGGCAAAACTTCAAGCCACAGTATTATCCTCTCATAATCAATACTGGGGGCTTATAAATAACACAAAACACATGGTGTGTTTGAATTCAAATGGTTAATATCACTGACAAACTATCACTGACAAATGATCACCAATGCAGGAGGTGAGAAGAATGCATATGCAAGCCTTACTACATGAGTCCTTAGGAGCACTGTAAGTCCTCTACTGTCACAGCAAAACACACTGCTGTGCACCGTGCATCATTACAAACAGCAGTTGGCTGCATATCACCACCGTGCTGAGAAAGAGTAGTAGCCCAATTAAAACAGGCAACCTAATGGTGTGTAACATCTCCACCCTCATCCACACACTCGTCTGCAGCAAGCGAGCTGACAACCGTCACCGTCCAATCCGTGACAGGTGTTTGTTTAAGACAAAAGGACAAGGAACAGCAGCAGACGCGAGCGAGCAAAAGAAGACACCACGACATAATCAGTTCTCAGAGCGAACGTGCACAGCAATATGGTGACGGTTCCCTTGGGACTTCTAATTTTTCGAGCCCATTGTTATTTCCTTCCACGGAGAATTATCCTTGCTCTTTGTTCTGACATGAAATGTGATGTCAGCGTGAAGAGGGCAACGCAGAGAGAAGAGACACACTAACACGAGTACCCTACGCACATAAATGTACTGAACCCCACTGTTTTATTCACCAGGTGACGCCTGACTGAAACTGATGAGTATGCATATCGTCAGCGTCCCATGTCATTAACTGCTGAGCCAAGGAAACTCTGCCAGTGCACCGCTGAAAACTGACGAGGATGAAGGAGAAAAAACCCTGACAACAGGCCACTACTGAGCCAGCAGGTGTGTGTTACAAATGAGGAGCCTTTTGTGTTTGGAGAAAACAAAGCTCCTCTCTGCACTGGCGAGCAATGTTTAAAGCATCCCTTAGTTCCAGATGCTCTTATACACCTCCCCCACACAACGGTATTCACACTTTTTCTTGAAGGATCTCATGCCAAGCGAAGCAATCATGACGTTTGTTTAATTTCTGATTCAAAGTCTGGTTGTTTTAGCAAATCTTAAGTGCTTTTAACGAATAGAGTTTTACAGTTTTATTTGATTTTAACTTCATTCTATGGTCTGAATATTTCTGGAAACTTGCATCTTAAAAACTCCCTGCATCAAGCAGAATATTTAATATGTATTCAAATAAGCAAAACGCTCATTATGTGGATAATAATCAAAGTATGGATAAATGCTTAATTTCTATTTTCATTCATTAAACTGACACATTTATCTATAGCGACTCACAGTTAAGGTATTCTAAAGGACCGAGACGACCAAATACCACATGAGAAGATACATTTAAATTACACTTAATGGTCACGGTATAACACCAAGTCAGTTAATTCAAGGATATCAATCTGTTCATTGAGTGCACAAGTGATTGTAAATCAATTTAAACTGCTTAGGTGCAAATGAAAGTGCACAACAGGTGCAATGGAGGCAAAAGCAAGACAACCCCCACAAAGGGAATGGTTTTACATGTGGTGGCCACAGACAATAACTCTCTCCTTCTCCCTCCTGACTAATTATTGTCTAGTTTTGTGTTCTGCTGGTGTCCTTGTCACTTCTGGTAGCATGAGGCGGTACCTGCAGCCCAACCAGGTTACACAGGTAGTCCAGCTCCTCCAGGTCGGCATCCATACTTGAGGCCGCCAGAGGGTTTGCTGTGGGTTTGCCCCCAAGCACAGTTTCAAGAGCATGGCTTTCGCCAGAGAACACCAGGATTGGCAGGTCTGCCACTGGCGCTCGTCCTCTTCACAGATGAGAGCAGGTTCACACTGAGCACATGTGACAGCCGTGAAAGAGTCTGGAGACGCTATGGTGAATGTTATGCTGCTGGTAACATTATCCGGTATGACCAGTTTGGCAGTGGGTCAGTGATGGTCTTGGGAGGCATATCCTCGGTGGGTTGCACAGACCTCCATGTCATAGCCAACGGTGCCCTGACTTCTGTGAGATCCTGGGATGAAATCTTCAGAGCGACTGCCAAGTACCGCCACAGACTATCCAGGAGCTCACTGACGCCCTGTCACAGGTCTGGGAGGAGATCGCCCAGGAAACCATCCAGGGACTCATCAGGAGCATGCTCAGATGTTGTTGCGAGTGTAAACAGGCACGCAGAGGCCTTACACACATTCAATCAAGTTTTATTTGTATAGCCCATATTCACAAATCACAATTTGTCTAATAGGGCTTAACAAGGCTTAACACTACTGAGTCACATTCGTTCATCAAGATCTGATATGTGATTTAAGTGTTCCCTTACTTGTTTTGAGCAGTGACATACTCTCATTAGCATATAAACAAAACAAACTATTCTCAGATTAGTTACAGTTTTAACTCTGTGCAGGTATAAACCCACAAGTGTAGAATATCTCTTTTCACTTGCTCTTTTTATCCTTTTTATTCTTTATGTGCCGACCCACTGCCGCTCTTTTGTGTGATACAGTAATCTCCTTCAATCCTCACATTGTGCAACTCTTTACTCACGGATGTCGAACAATTATGTTGTCTGCCAACGCTGAAGATGATGGTAAGAGAGTCAAACGAAGCCAGACAAAGATTTGAAAGCTAAATACTTGAACATCACCAGTAATAGTCAACAGTGTTTGGAAGAATTGTCTGATCTTTATGCTCACATATTATAAAGTTATTCAGCATCATGACCCCTCCATCTGCTACAGCATAAATATTATACTTCTCATGTGAAAAGTGAATGTATATGTATATATAAAACACTGACCCTCTCTATTCTTTTTACTTCAAATTTTAATAGTCGTTCTAATTATGATCTACTTGAGCTTTTGAAAATTATAGAAAGTGTAAATGCTTAAAAATAGCTTGTGGAGCTTTTGCCTACTGGTATTATGAAACAATGTCTTAACATGGTGCTCCACAATGTGTTGTCCTTTTGCAGGAAGTGAGACATGCATGCCCAAGGCATGCATTTGACGTGGTACACATTCCTGCTAATGGTTTCTTGCTAAATCTGCTGATCTACAGGTGGAGGCAGCGCTGTAACAACGGCAGGGAAGAAGACGACTGCGAGAAGGTAAACGTAGATGTCAACATAATTATGTAAAAATCAGTTTGCTCAAATTTTATAAGGAAGGAAATGAGTTCAACAAATCTGTTAGGATTTACACATTTCTGAAATGTTTAATAAATTGATGTTTTTAAGGTTCTTCATGGCTATATTCTTTTCTTTTTTTTCTATCTTTATTTATTTTAACATAGGAAGACAACCATAACAACAAATATGCAAAAACTGTGTTTTTTTTCCAAATCCCTCTAAAATCTAAACTGATCCTATGTGTAATGCATTTTGCTCATTTAACTCTTTTGTGGTGCTACTGTTCAACAAATATTCACTGTCTCCTACACAGTCAGGCCAATATCCAATTAGCTAAAACTAAAAGCATTTAGTTAAAGGAAAAACATGGTGGCCACTCGAGAGAGGGTCCCCTCGATGTAAATATAAAGAATTCAAATATAAAGGGTCTTTTCTGGGGTAAAGAAAACTACAATTCATACAATTTAGATGAAACAAACTAGTGAAAACATCATGAGGATTATTCTACATTAAATTTCTGCCAATAGATCCCTTTCACCTAAATCTTACACACTGGACCTTTAAGTAAGTTTTTGTAAAACATTGATGATTACACCTATTTATAATTTATCAGAGTGATAAATGTAAATGTCAGTTTGAACAATAAACAGCCCATTGTTAATAAGTGTAATAAAGGACTATATTTTATTATTATTATTGTTGGGTTATGAATAAAAAAGGTTTAAATATGTATGGACTGAATGCACATTCATTTATTAATTAATTATAACCAGAGCTCTGCGGATGAGAAAAATGAGTGTCTGACCAGCCAAGGAGCCAAAGAACTGAAAACACATTCAAAAAAACTGCTAATTAATTCTGGCTATTCATCATCACCACACATCTAAAAATGCAAAGTACAGATCTGTACTGGTTTTATGACCAATACCAAAAACTCATTTTCATATATTAATGAGAAAATGTTGCCCTTTCCATTCTTTTAAGTTTCTACAAACAAATTAACAGCTGCAGTTGTTTTGGTTCAATTAAACATGTCCACCCCAAATGAATGTTGTCTCACTTGTCACACCCATTCCAGATGAAATACAGCTGTTGTGATGATTACAGAAAGCATGGCAGACGGACTTCAAAAGAACAAACTGAACAAGACAATTAAACAATTAGCAGCCCTTTCCTCATGCATTCATTAGAGCCCCCACCATGGAAATCATTTCCCCTGCGGATAACCCCAACTGTATCTACTCTTACTCCACAGTGATTCAGTGAGGCTGCTAATCATTTCTTTGAAGAGATAATGCATCGTACTGCAGACTAAAGCGCAAAACACACTGCCACCACAGCACAGATGGGCGTCATGACATGTGTCATGTGACATGTCATGGTTCCACACGTCAGTGACCACACAGAAGAGAGCGGGTAGGTAATGCAAACTGTTGCTTCCTGTTTGTTATTTATAAGAAAAATATGATTTATGTCTTCAGTCCTCACACCTTCAGTAAACCATGTCCATCATGACATGTAATGGTGAAATTGTGGGATGTAGAGCTGTGTTCATACACTGCTCTGATAAGTTTCTCCTCATTCCATTTGACAGCTTCAAGACCACGAACAAAGCTGACCTGTCCCTGAGCGACGAGGAAGTTTAGCTACAGCAGCTTTGCCAGGTGCTTCTCATCTACACTGGATAACAGGTCTGAGGTCTAAACTGCTTCTGTGTACGGAGTCATGACGTGCTTCATGTGGTGATAGCGTTATTTGTGCTTGCGAGGCTCCACTCGAAATCTATTTTTGAATATCATACATTCAGCCCTGTAAGTTTGGCAGGTGATGGAATGTGTAAAAGGTTAATATTTCTGTTCCTCACAGAGCAGCGTACCTGTGAATGCTTGAATCCACGTCAGTTAATCCACTTCTCCCCTGACCACCTCTGTGATCACATTTCATATATCTCGTCTGCAGCGGTTGAGTGTAGGATACTCAAAAGATTTCAGGTGGATCACTACTAGCCTCAATTTTCAGGTGATACCGACAAAAATGTTAGACAATCTAAAGTATTATGGAGATGATAGACACACTGAGCTGGGCTTGAATCCCGACACCCTCATGCTGTGATGGAAAGTTTGAAATGATCAGGCGACAGCGACACAGAAATGGTGTTTCTCCATTATGTTATTAACCAAATATTCATCTGATCTCATGAGATAAGCTCTACATACTTTGTGTCACAAGATCAGTGAAGTTTTCAGGCTGTGTTTGGAAAGCATGCAATAGTCGAATCAATTTCATGAACTCTGATAAGATCATTCCTTGGGGTTTTCAAGAAACAGCTGGGAATTTTTCAATAAAAAGGGATTACTTTATTTCAGACGGGGGGGGGTGGGTTGTCAAATATGGAGGCATACTTTGCAACACTACTCCAGTACATTTCTGTGCCACGCAGATTTCATACCTGATAGATCCTGTTTAGATGTGCCTGTAGGAAGAAAATGTAGCGCATGTAATGGACTGGCACCAGAATTCCTCCATGAACTACAGTTTATCTCTGAAGCATTTTCCCCTTATTACCTGTCATCTGTAGCAACACTCCAAGACCTTACAGAAACAGGCCATGTGGGCAATAGATGTTCCAGAATACCAATCAGGTATTGACTGATTTTGAGGGTTTGCTCATGGAATATTGTTGAGTGTATTAACAAGAGAAGATACAGGGGAATCCAGGATGTATAAAGGATGGAAAATAAAAAAGCCAGCTCCTACCCAATGCTGTGTCAAAACAAATGTATGAGGTGGGAGCAGGATATAAACTGATTAAAATTATAACATTTTAAGATAAAAACTTTTCAATCACTGGTATGAGAAGAATAATGACAATAGTGATTGAAAAATGCATGACTAACACTTGAGCATTCAAGTGCTCACTCGAGCAAATACAATAAGAAGCAGACGAAGACTAATTATTATGCTTTCAATTGCATGCTTATTTTGGGAATGTTATAATTGGGTTTCTGATGCTGATTTTCTTGACATTTGGAAAAAAATTCAAGTCAAATCTGAGAGTACTCCACATTACTGGTAGAGTACGGCTCAGCTAATTACATGAAATCAATTGGGCCATCTCGAAGGAGCTGGTAATTTAGGGAAAATAAACAGCAGCACATAAACCTTTCTGTGGGTGTTTCATAATGAAACTGCATGGATTCCCTACCTGCACATGATCAATATACCTCTAGAATTTAGGTTAAAGGTATTCAATTCCTCTCCCTGACAAACGCTGGGTTGTGTTCTTCTCAGCTGGTGTCCCAATTCCACATGAAAAACGAATGCCTCTTAGAGTTAACTATATGGAAATGTTAACTTCATTTTTTGCAGAGAAACTGGTGCAGAAGTGCAGATTCAGAGATACATCACTAATTTTCAATTTGGAGGTATTGCAAAGTGCAAGTAATATTAATCCACTTACAAAGTGGTTCAGATTCATGTAAAGTGTGCAACTGGGACACAGACAGTATCACTCTACTTTACCAAGGAAAGATGGTGGCAGGACATTGGCCCTTAAGGACCAGAACTGAGTACCCAGGATGTAGTCAGTTAGCTACTGCTGTCATCCACTCTGTGTTTATTATTTCACCTGTTCTCCTTCGGTGAAGACGTGGTCGCCAGAGCTCCAGTTGATGGTGGGAGTTGGATCACCTGAAGCCTCACAAGTCAAAGTTACCTGCTCCTCCATCTCTGACGTGCTCTGGTTCCCGATGAATGTGATCCTAGGTTTAACTGTAAAACACAAACACACAGTCATTGAAGCCATGTATGACACATGTATAACAAGAGCAGGGTGGTTAGACAGCACAGAAACAATAAGTGAAAGAGCAACTCCATGGATTGGGGAAGAGTTCAAAGAGAATAAGGATCAGTAGCTTGACAGGTTAGGGGGGGTTTCATGGCAGCAAAACTGTATTTAAGTGTTCCTAGTCCCAGCAGTTGTAAAATTCCTGTTATAATTGTGGCCTATCTCAGAGGAGCCGTTCATCATTTTTATTTACATTTAAGCAAACTGTCTCAGAGCACCTGAGCTAACCTGAAAGCACAGCAGGGGGCCCAACTGTGACATGAGCGGAGCAAGGCCAATTGACGTGCCTGTTCTGCAGCTCAAGGATGTGCATTACTCACATCTATTCCATTCCAGCCCATGACGGATGAAATGCATGGATTAGGCTATGGGTTAGCTCCATGCAAGCCTCTTCAATATAGTGAATACAATTTTCAGCACAAGAAAACAACCTGAATGAAAAATGCTGTTATCTCAGCCAATAATAGGACAACTGTCTTGCCTTTAGTGATTTATAAATCAAAGATTTGAACACGCAGAGGTTTCTATTTACAGCCAGGAATGTCAAAAACTTAAATCCAGGATTGGAGAATATATATTTTTTAATGTATTCTGTGAGCTTTGTAAAGGCAGATCCATCCCAATCCTTCCTGTATCATTAACACTAGAACAGCATTGTGAGAGGACCTCGGAGCAGTACAAATAATAAACTGTGACCAGAGTTTCAATGAATAGGACACTGTCACCTTAGTTGCATAATGTTGACATGTATTCGTCTAATTGCATTGTAACATATTATTGGAGCTTTCACAGCATTCTGCAACAACAACATTTACGACAGTTACCAACTGCATGAAGTCATAATCAGACTGTGTATTAATGGAATATTTTTCCGCAACTCATAATCAAAATAGTCTTACTCAGAATAAAGTCAATAATTGGAATATTGCCTTCCATGTAAACAGTCAATAACAGTATCCACAATAATGTGTGTGAGCAAGTGAAGTATTCTGTATTTTGCAGGTGCAGAATATCTCTACAGGTTTCTGCTGCTGGCTATCTACTTATTTTGTTCATGCTGGAGACAAAGAGAATAAATAACTAAATCCTGCCTAAACCTACAGCTATATCTCTGACACTCACATACTTTTCTCCAAAGGTATTAAAGCAGATCACATATTCTGACTTCAGCGGTATTCAGCACTCAGGCAGTTTGCTTTACTAATTTCAGTGTTGCCCTTTGTAAATGCTCTGAAAGTCAATATTCTCAATTAGATTCTTACATCACACCAACACAGAAAACTTAGACCCGTTTAGGCGATTTTACACTGGAGATCTCTTTATTTCTGTTTCTGTCTGTAATCTTCTCACTGGTTTGAAATGAGCAAGGTTCAGTTAGAGAGAGCTGTTGCGACTTCTACATATTAAATGGGGCTTTACAGCGTTGTGTGCAGTATGCAGTTGTACCAGAAGAATATGAATTTCCAGTCAGACTTGGTAATGATAGGCGCCATTTAAGAACTAAAAAAGAACTGTTTCAGCTTTCATATTCAGAATATGGGAGCTTATGTAAGAAAACCAGAGCTTTGTCAGTGCAAGAAGAATCCAGTAATAAAGTATGTTGCTAAAGAGCTAAACAATGTTTTTTGAAAGCTGTCTTCAGTAAATTCATGGAGATTGTTCATCCATTGAGATCCAAAGAACCAGGCTTTGGGCATTTCTTTTGTTTAGGAAATAAAGTTCACTAAGCTATTTTAAATGAACTCTCATGTCTACATGAACCAATACTGTGATTGTAACTGAAATAACAGTCGTCTCTGTTACAAAAAAAGGCAGCAACTACTTAGAGGGAAAAAACTAAGAAAAAATATCAAATTCAAAGAGTTCAGCCGAGTTCATTCTCTAAATCCTTAAACACCATCGGTACATGAAACGTTCACAACCCACACTGAATCAACACCTCATCTTGTATCCCCTAGAAAACAAGACATAAAACCATACAATTGTTCTTCACCCACCTACACGCTCTTATATTTCATTCCCACACACTTGGAGCATTCACATTACCACTTGAATTCATGTATGTATATAAAATGTGTCTCCTTACCAAACACTCTGAGACTGAGTTCCTGCTCACTTTCCCCAGCCTTATTCTTGGCAATGCATGTGTAGTCGCCTTCATCCAGCTTGGTAACATCCATTATTGTAATTTCAGAGCCATCTTCATTAAAGCTGTACTTCTCTCCTGCGTCGAGAACCACCTCACTCCTGTGTGGAACATTAGACCTATTTTACCAATCAGTTCCAAACTTTATTTAATATGTAACATGTTAACAGGTCACTGCTCTTCAAAAAAATGTATTTTCCCAAACATAACCCATAGAGTTTTGTAAAATATGCAGTCGTTTCTCGATGAATGACAATGTGAAAAAGGTCAAGTGGTGAAGTGCCTTGATGATTAACGTAAAAGCGGAATATTTTTTAAAGAACGTTACATAAATAATGTTTTATGTTTGTACGCTTTTTGACATTTGGTATCAAGTGTCAGATGTATTTATAATTTGTTTACCAGGGACCCAATTAAGATGTCCTCGGACCTCTGACTGTCTGTGATCATTTGTTTCAGGCAGTTTTAAGGTGCAGGTTCTGTCCAACTGCAGAAGTATTCAATTAAATATTCTGATGTAAATTATAATACTAAAAACCAAGAGCATCAGATGCTCCAGGGCTATTTGCACTTTGTGACCCACCGGTTCTTAACTGTCTATAGAGCCGACTGCTGTCGTGGAAACAAGACAAACAGGAACAGTTGAACAAAGCAGGAGCCTATCAATGGCTGTATTCAGGCACAGAGTATAATGTGGCTCTTGATGACACTCTGGTCTTCAGGTTTCACTGTTTATATTCACCTTTTATATCTCGTGGTTAAGTATCCTATTGCAATGAATAAACCAGTTAGCAGAGTATCTCTAATAACCCGACAAGGTATTATAAACTTGGGTCTTCAGTTTGATGCAGGTAAACTAGACTGAAATATGAAACTGATTTAGATTCAAGGTCCCCAGAGAATGTATAGCATTGACTTGGTGATCTGCGGACATTTCCTCCAGTGCCAATAGTGAGCTGTACTTTTTGGTTAAGAATG